CTGTGGGCATCTCCAGTTTTAAAGGACAGGCACTGGCCAGAATAGAGAGTGGATGGATTTGAGAAGGGTACTAAGTGACTCAACAAGAGTGAGTGTGTGGCAGCATGTTCCTTCCAGACAAACAGTTCCCTGCACCCTCAGGGCATTTCACCCAGACTTCTCAACACAGGAGCTGCAAAGTGCTTGCAGCAGACACAACAGCTGAGCCGCAGAGCTGCTGTAGCTGGTCTCTGGGGAGCACAAAAGGCTGCAATTGAGGCCACTTCAGCAGAGCCTGCCTGGTCTCCTGGGCCACACTTCCCTGACTGCCCTGCACTGACTCCAAGGAGCCTGAAACCAATTCTCCCAGGACCTGCTGCTCTGAGCCCAGGGAAGGGTTCTCAGCCGTAGGAAGGGATACTATTTCAAAGATTCAGGAGGGGCTGGAATGTAATTCAACGTCAAAATACTTGCCTGGCATGCCTTGGATTCCCTCTCCACCCAGTACCATAATAATTACATACATAGTTACATACATACATAAAACAAGGATCCAGCCTTTTGCTGGGCAGTGGTAGTATACACATTTAATCCCAGCACTCAGCAACCAGAGGCAGGCAGATCTCTGTGAGTTCGAGGCCAGCGATTTCCAGGACAGTGACGGCTACACAGTGAAACCCTGTCTTGAAAAACCAAAAAAAAAAAAAAAAAAAAGGAAACAAAACCTCATAAATTTACCATATAATCCAGCAATATATCTCCATATCAAGGTTTGTACGTTAGGGCTGGGACAGATAAAATGTGCCATAACCATCCAAGGGAAGAGCATCAACAACAAAAAGGAACAAATTACTGATGCATGCTATAACATGCAGGGCCTTAAAAAGCATACGTTAAGGGACAGAGGCCAGATACGAGAGAATACACGAAAGATTCCACTGAGAAGACCTTTAGACAAATCTACTACAGAGAAAATATATTAATAATTGTCTGGGGCAGGGTATAGGAGTGAGATTAATAGTAAATGGCATAACAGATCTTATTGGGAGTGATACAAATGTTCTAGAACTGATTTATAGTGGTGGCTGTAAAATTTGGCAGATTTTCTTTAAAAATCATTGACCTGTACACTTGACAAGATGAGTCATATGGAAGGTAAAACATACCTCATTAAATCATTAAACCTACCACATGTATAGGGCAACACAAGGATTGGGAAGGACCACACAGACGACAAGTGACAAGGAGAGAGGCACAGGGTCAGGGATGCGCCCACCAGCATGCCCTGGGCAGCAGCGAGGCCCGGGAGAGGTAAGCACCATGCTGAATGTGGGAAGCTTTGCCCGTGCGGGACGGCTGTAAGATGTCTCTCCCTGCAGAGGGCTGGGCCAGGCTAGAGGGATACAGGTGCTGGTGACTGCTGACAGGGACCTGCAGTCCCACTGACAGTCCCCAAGGGGACTTCCTGCTCCTCTGTGCCCTTGGGATGAGGTGTGATCTCTGGGTAGACTGCCAGCGAGCCTCTCGCTCACTCGCTCTTTTCCTTCCCCTGAACTGTAAAGAGAGACCTCTTCGATGCCTCCTCTTGTGCTCCTGAGTGGCCCTAGCTCAGCCCTTCCCCTGGACCTGCCCAGCTGAGAGGCCCTGGCTCTCTAGGTGCTCTGCCAGCGGCTGTGTTGGTAAACTCAACTCCTGGAGGAAGTGCAGAGCTGTGGCATTCAGGCCTGTCCGCCACCCTGTGGATGCTAACTCTTCTTTGCTGTACAAAAGCAGACAGAAGCTGTGCTGTCCCACCCCGTCCCTTACGTGCTTCGTCACTGGCTCAGCATAACGGGCAGGAGTAGGAGTGACTTTCCTCAAACCTCAACTTCCACCAAGCCAACTTCACTCACCATTGTCCTCTCCAATTTGCCACACCTGTAGGTAACGCCCTGGAAGGCCACTGGTCACCAGCAACCTGTTCCAGAGACAGAAAATCAGTCCAGACAACCCTGGCAGCCTTTCCCCTCCAGCCCACTCAAGATCCCTGGGACCAGCTGCCCTCATTCGACAGATGAGCAGGCTCACCCTGCTTTAGGGACAGGATCACAACTCAGAGGGAGCCACAGACTGAGCCCAGGCTTCCACAGCTCATGATGGTCACCTAGAAAGGACACAAGTAGGGAGCCTGAATACATAACCCTGACTGAGACAGCTCTCCAAGAAGCTTCAGAGAATTTTCCACTCTGTATTTGGTTCCTGGAGCAACTCCAGGGACCAGGTGGTTCCTTCCACTACTCGAAATGGCTGCTAAGCTAACGGTTTCTTCATATGCTAATTCACATGCTAAGTCTACGTGTGCCCAGCCCCATGTGTACCCCCACTCATGTCTGGAGACTGAGAAGTGGGCGTGGTGGTAAGAAGACAGAACACTGAGCATTTCCTGTCATCCCCACAGAATGGGAATGGAAGGTCTGGGACACAGACCGGCCATACCTGGTATCTGGCACGTGCTTTAGGTCAAAGACAGACCTGTCTGAAAATCCTCCATGGCGTACTTTGAAATCTCTCTCTGGAAATAAACCCTAAAACACAAAGGAGTGGGGGCAATCAGATAGCACCTGATTTTTCTGTTTCTTTAAAAAAAAAAAAAAAGGGTTTCTCTGTGTAGCCTTGGCTGTCCAGGAACTCACTCTGTAGACCAGGCTGGCCTCAAATACAGAGATCCACCTGCCTCTGCCTCCGCAGTGCTGGGATTAAAGGTGTGCGTCACTACCACTGAGCTCAGCACCTGCTTTTCTTTCTTTTTTTCCTTAAAATTTATGTATGTACATTGGGGTTTTACCTGTATGTGTATCTGTGTGAGGGTGCCGGATCCCCTGGAACTGGAGTTACAGACAGTTGTGAGCTGCCATGTGGGTGCTGGGAATTGAACCTGGGTCCTTTAGAAGAGCCACCAGTGCTGTTAACCACTGAACCATCTCTCCAGCTCCCTAAATCTATTTTTTATCCAGTAAGACTACCCGCCACCTTCCTCAGCATTCATCCCTATGCATAGGAGCTTCTTCTGTAGACCCAGAGCTCATCAGGGACAGTATGCGGTGGGTAAGAGGCACTCCAGAAATGCCTAAGTACAAGTTCACACATCTAACAGATTCTCTGTTTAAGTTACCTGGTTTTCCTTCACAGAGAGTCTGAGAGGTAGTATCAGATGAAGAATCTCATTTTTTTTCAAACTTTCATAACCAGCAACAAACACTCCTGAAACAAAACAGTCACTATAATTGTTAGAAATGTCGTGGATTACAGCTGGATTTATTAATTCTCCCAAAGGATAAATTTCTTCCTAGTTCACTAGTTGGCAGACTTGTGTCAGGGAATGGAAGTTGGATGGGTCTCTCTAAAGGCTGAGCCCTTAGAACTCAGTCCAAGGGGCAGACAGCCATCTCCTTTAGAGGCAGACTAGGTATATTACCTTTTTCGCCAATCCACTCAAGCACTCGAGTGGCTCCTGAGAGGTCAAATGCATGGAAATCTTGGTACCTGCAGAAGAGGGATTAAAAATAATATCACACGGTGCACGACACTGTACAGCTGACCAAGAACTCTGAGATCACTGCAGAATTAGTGGACCCAGGCTCTGGAGTCAGGTAGACATGGGACTGGGTATTTATTCCGCATTTTACCCTGCGTGTGTAAGACCAGGCACCGACCCATGGTTCTTAGCTGTGGAACTCCCAGATTTCCTCAAAGTTGATTTCCACAAGAGGAGATGAACAATTGGAAAACCCGTGTTCAGGTTAAGTTAGGGTCGGCGCAACATAATCAGTCTTCACGAGTGAGCACCTGGTCCCACTACTTGCTCACAAAAGGACTGAGTGTCCCAGAAGCCAGAGACGGATCAGGACCCTCCGCCCGGTCCGTCTGGGCACCGCCTGCGAGCCCACACGCGGATCCGGGCTGCCCGCGCCCTCGCCCACTGCCCACCAGACCCGCCCCCGGCCCGATTTACAAGCGCAAGGACTCCACTAGCCAGTCCTCGGCGAGCTCCATAGCAACTGTCGCTTCCTCCACTCCACTTCCGCAGGCTCGACTTCCGGGGCGGGTGCGCGCTCTCGCGAGAAAAGGGCGTGGTCTCCCGCCTGGCAGTGCAGGCAGCGCTCGGAGCTGCGCGAATCCCTGCTGTTGTTTCCCGCGTTCTGTGGGCCGACTCCGGGTAAAAACGACGCAGAAACAGAGGTTCTTAAATGTCAGCTCCAAACAGGACCGGAGACATCAAATACGCCCCTGTTTTAGGATCAAGTATGTGCAGCCGAAGAGCTGTCAAGCGTCCCAAAGCCAGGTACAATACAGACTTAATTGGAACTTACGGTGAACAACAGTTAATTTAAAAGTTCGCGTAAATATGACCGTGAAGGATACGTTAGGATTTTTTTTAATGAAAGAAATCTTGTTGGGCTAGGAATGTAGCTCAGCTGGTAGAGTGCTTGCCTAGCATGCACGAAGCTCGCTTTCCAGTACCACGTAAAACCCCTGACATGGAGGCGCACACCTGTAATTCCAGTGCTCAGGAGACAGAGAATCAGAAGTTTTAGGTTATCATCTGCTACATAGGGAGATCATGGTCGGTCTACGTTACACAAGACCCTGCATCAATCAATAAAGTATATGACACTCTCATTTTTATTCGATAACTTTGGCAACCTGCGGAGGTCCTTACATCCAGAGAAGAACCAGAACACAGCAGGGCTGGATTCCAGCACACTAAAGCTTGGGATGAAAGATGGGGTGCGTGTAACATAGTGTAGGCAGTCCCCCATCGCAGGCAAAGACATTTTAGGTAGTAGAAATGGCAATGGGCCAGTGAGCAAACACAGTATCTGATTGCCAAAAGTTGACAGTCAATCATTGCCTGGTTGGCACCATGGTGAGGGGTGATGGGGCTTTTCCCAGACCACCCCATCTCAACAAACATGCCACCTTCCAGAATCCTCTCCCCTTTCCTCAAATGTGGGTGGAAGGAGATGCCCAGACATTTTGTGTAAAGTGCAGTGTTTTTATTCACAACTTCACCAGGGAAGCAAGAAACACAGCAGGAAAGACTTTGTGTCTACATCATCAACATTCCTGGTGACCCAGCCAGAAATGCCAGTAACGGCATAAGTAACACATTGGAGCTTAGGATTTACATCCCGACGGGGCCACTGCTGGAGTAGCATTCAGCAGCTTGCCTAGGTGGACACATTCTAAGCCACGCTGTTGTGTTGATCCTGTTAATGGTGTCACTTCTTCAGGGTTGGCTCCAGCAGCCTCCTGTACTGAAGGCAAAAGGAGAAGACTTGACCCCGGAGCCCACATGTCATAGGGATATGCTGGGTGTGCATAGAGGTGGGCTGGGTCTCTGTGTGAGTACCTTTCTCCCTCAAAGTCCTGAGAGGAGTCAGGGGTAATGGTTTCCCCAGAATGTGGCACCGATTTCACAGGGAGGTCATGACAGCTTAAGGGCACCACAGGAACCAAGTCCAAGGCACTAGACAAGTGTCAGTGACACTCCTGTACCTCCCCCAAGTTCTGCCCCAGACCTCTCTGACGCTCCCTGCCACTGGCCGTGACACTGCTGTTTCCTCTGGGAGTGTCTGGTTGGTCTTGGTATTTCAGGCCTTCAAAATAATGCCCTAGAGGTGATGCACTGTCTCTTTGGACTCTGCCAGTCTCAGCTTCTGGCTCTTGCATCTGAGGTTCCCGGGGTGTTTGCCGGCATGGTAGGTAGACTTTCTCTAAGGGATGTCCCTCCTTGCAGCATATGCACATCGCTAGGCATAGCGCGGGGATGCGAAGGGAGTCAGCAGCAGGCGCACACCAGGCAGTAAGAGCTCCTGCTTACCAAGAGCTTTCTGTGTGCCACACTGGGCATGTGCCATAAATGGCCCTGTTATTGCCATTTGATGAAGAACCTGAGTAGTTCAGTGATATTCCTAAGGTCACCCACCCAACTGCTAACTAGCTATGTGGCCCCAGCATACATGCTACCCCATCACACTGCCTTCTGCACACGGCAATAAGTACAGGGAGAGTGGTGAGCAGTGGGACAGCACCAGAAGCAAAGAATGGACGAGCTGCCGCCCAGCCAGGCAGGACACTCAGGGCTTGAGCACCACAGGTTGGTTTACAGCCAGTGGTGATTCCAGCCCACTTCCACCTGGGGGACATCAACTTGGTGTCTACAGGCTTTTTTATTTTTGTTTTTCACAAACTCCTGGTTTTAAACCATCCTCCTGAGGTATCAGGGAGGGCAGGCAAGGGCACCATTGTGACCTGGAGGGAATTTTGGTTATCACAACTTGGTGAGGAGAGGGAATGTGTTAGTGGCATCAGGTAGGTAGAGACCAGGGATGCACAGGACAGCCCCCAGAGCCCAGACTGTCAAGAGCACTGGCATGATAAACCCTGCCACCGTTAAGTGCTCAGGGGATGGGAAGCAGGCTGGCTCTGAGTTCCCTTGGCACCTCAGGCCTCAGAGGTCACAGGGCAGACCACAAGCAGACTGGAACAGCAAAGCTGGGTAGCAACTGGGACGGACAAGGCTGTGTGGCATGGAGGAGGACAGTTTGCTTAAGGGCGAGGATATCCTAGTCTGTGACTTCAGACTGGGGAGGGGCAAAGAGGTACTTCTTTCCCAAGCAGATTGCTGCGTCATTTTCTGGTCTTTGGGATATTTCCCCTTGAGCCCTGGGACCCTGACTTTCTGGAATCCATACCCATTACGCCCTGGCTAGGCACAGTCCCACCCTGAACCCAAGCTGGGCGACAGTTCTTCCACGTTGGTACAGGGGTGGAGGCTCACCTGAACTGGGGAGGTTGAGCCACTGAGGTTCATGCCTAAGGCTTTCTTTAGCAGGAGGATCCGGAGCAGATCATGACTCAGCTGCAGTCTCTGGCCCCTCTGGGTGCTGGGAGATGCTGTCCCCACCAGCGACAGACCTGGGGGCTCCAGACTCTTCTTGCCCATGAAATGACCTAAAAAAAGAGGTGCCAAGGTACATGACAGCTAGGGAGTGAGGACCCTATTCCCATAAGCAAGTTCTGGTCTGTTCCACCTTTCTGCTCTCACAGAGGACAGACAAGAAATGTTTCTCCACAGCAAGAAGCCGCAGACGTCTGGGTGGAGGCAAAGCCTCAGCTTTCCCTGACCCTCTGGAGGACAGCACAACTGGGACCAGGGAGACCTGCCAGGGAAGAAAGTAGAGAAAGTGCCTCGGAGACGGATGTACCGAGAAGACATGAGTGAGAAAGCCTGGCAGTCTGCCTAAGGGAAGGGGAGCTGGCTGGCAACCAGATCTAAGCTCCGTCTTAAACTTGCTTACTGGGTTATCTTAGCCAAGCCTTCCCACCTGTTAAACGTGAGCCCCCGGGGTCGGCAGGAGCTCTGCCACCGTGAGCCTCCAGAGAGTTGAAAGGAAACTGGGGGCGGAGGAGAATGAGGCACGAAAGTTGGTATCCCCTAAGACTTACCGGTTGCCCAGAGGTTGCCCCGGGGGTGCACTCGAATCTTGCTGGCTCGGCTGCGGGGCTCCGGGAGATCCCAATTGAAGGGGGCGACGCCAGCAGTGAACAACACGAAGAGAAGGAGACTGCAGAGCAGCCGAGAGCCCCTTGCCTGCCGGGTCATGGCTGTTCCCAGCAGGATCTTCTCCCGCACCCAGATACTACTTCTTGAAGCCCGCCTTCCAGCCTTTTAAACTACAGTAGGAGCGGAGCCTGCTGGAGGCGCTGAGCTCGCCCCGCCCCGAAGTCCCGCCCTCTGCAGGCTCCACCCTCAAAGCCACCAGGGTGGGCACTGGAGCTTTGGCAGAAAACCACCAAAGTTCGTGTGCAACCTGGAGCGTGGCACTGCCCCACAGCAAAGGTGGCTCCCAAGGCCCTCCTTGGCCACCGACGCCAGCTTTCTGCCACCGTGTCGTTTTATCAGCCCTCAAAGACTCCCCTTGAGGCTAAAGTGGAGCAAAAAGTCCCACTGCTCGCAACGTGGGTGTTTGGCATCATCTAGCAGAGGAACTCCATAAAAGAATTCTGTCACCTCCTCCGTCTCGAGGTATCTGACCCTTGCTTTCACCTCTCTGCTCTCTCACAAATATCTCACTCCGGGTAACCTGGAAATGCTCTGTGCCCAGAATGGGAGAGAATGATGGGGAAGGGAGTAAGGAGCTGTCTCCTAGCAGTGCTACCCCCTTGGAGGGCCTGGTCTATCATAACTAGGCAGGAGGCAGACCTGCCCCGTGGGTCAGAGCAGTGGGAACAGCGCTGGACCAGGTGATGCTTTCTTCTATTGTAAAATGGAAATAGCATACTGCCTATACCTTTAATAGTTTCATGTCTTTCAGTACAACTGGTTGTTAAGGGACAGCACTGTCTTCTTGAGGAGCTGTCTTGACTGGTCTTGGAAAACATCACCATCCATCATTAGCGTCACTTAGTAATCAGGGGCAGATACATGCTTCAACTCCTTTATTTTTGTCTAACTGTTCGCTGTACTCCAACATTCGGGACACTGTGGCAAGGCCAGGAGGGGACACCAACTCCTTGCTACCAAGAGTTGACCTTCTCATTGGAAACTAGGTCAAGGAAAGACTGGTGGAATGGGATGTGAGATCTTGGATACCTTTCTGGAACTCTCGTGGGGCATAACAGAACCTCCTAACCTGGCCCAATAATGGCAGCTGCTATCATCATCTTTTTGTTTTAAGACAAGGCTTGCATGTAGCCCTGGCTGTCCTGGAACTCACTATATACACCAGATTGAATAGAATTTATAGCAATCCTCCTGCCTCAGCTTCTCAAGTGCCAGAATTACACATGTGAGCCATTATACTTGGTTTGCTGTCCTAACAGCTACACATTAGGTAGCTGAGCAAGGCCTGTCAGTCCGATGGATCACCACCCCAGAAGGGATGTCAGAGGTTAACACATTTGGTAGTTTCCTTAATTGTTTCCCCCTTTGGTTGTGTACATATGTGTGTGCACACACACCCACATATGGAGGCCAGAGGACAACTTTCGGGGTCAAGTCTTACCTTCTACCTTGTGTGCAGCAGGGTCTCTCTTGTCTCTGCTGCCTTGCAATGGCATGCAGTTTAGCAGGTCTGTGAGCTTCTGGATTATTCTCCCATTACATGTATGTGACACTACATCGGTTTTCATGTCGGGTCTAGGAGTCTGAGCTTAGGTCGGGCTTGTTGCAGCAAGTGCTTTCCCCACTGAGTCACCGCCCGGCCCCACCTTAGTTTTTGAGGTAGGGTCTCCTGCTGAACCTGGTGCTTACTAACTAAGACTAGCTAGCCAGCAAACCTGGGGACCCTCCTGTCCCTACTCCCCAGAACTGGGATTTTAGGTGCTGGCCAACAACCTGGCTTTTTCTGTGGGTGCTGGCAGTCTGAACTCAGGTCCTCATGCTTGCAAGGCAAGGACTTTACTAAGCCACTCCCAGTGCCAGGGAGGCTTTCTGCGGCTGTAATGCTGAGGATCAGAGTGTGGCACACAGGCCAGTGACAGTCCATTTCTGGCCCTGGCTCTTCCTTTCAGCCTCCTTGCTTCTCACCCCCAACCTGACATTTACACCTCCCTGCTTTCTTGTCACAGCCTAGCCATGGTGTTCAGATATAGCTCTTATCACCTTCCCATAATAATCATTCCCTCTGCAATCTCCTCCCTCTCCTGCATCCACCACACCTCCAGACTCTCTCTTTGGTCCAAGGATGTGGAAGCCAGGGGAAATAGTGTTGAGTGAACGCTGCTTTCCCTAACCACTTGAAGGAACTTACTTGACAAGCTTCTCTCATGTTATTGGTTCACCAGAGTCAGGCTTCGGGTCTGTCATGACACTTTTGGGACACCGCCTCACACCCCCAAAGCTGTGAAAACAGTTTTCCCTAACACACACACTCCTGTTTTCCCATGCTATCATTTCAGCACCAAATGAATTTTGAAGTCTCAGGGAGCAAAGTTAGTGGGCACTACCTCTCCAGTCTCATTGCTCTCCTAGGGGTGACCCTGAGGTCCTGAGTTCTGTTCTCACGAATTCGATTACACTGAAGACCAGCTCCATCTAACACATAGGCGGTTCAAGGCTTAGAAGAGAAAGCAGGGAGCTGCTACTCAGCAGCGCAGATGAGAGCTCAGGGATGTTATGAGGCCCTGCAGTGAGCAGTCCAGGCAGTGTTCCTAACTATCTGCATATAACGTTCATGAATTTAAGGGGACAGTTACATAACTGAAGTAATACTTTCAACCCCAAAGAGGGTTTTGGATTTTAGAGACTTAGACTCACTGTGGAGCCGGACTGGCCTTGAACTCAAAAATCCCTTTGTTCCAACCAGTGCTGGGATGTGTGACACATCACTGGCCATCCAGGGAGGTGTAAACACGTAGGAGTCTGGTAGAGAATCTCACTGTTTCTAAGAGATTTGATAATCTGAGGAAGCCCGAGGAGGGGCTTTGCAAATTGAGGTTTGCTATGATAGCCCATTCAACTTCCAAAGGTAGGACAGGGCACGGCACCCAGGGCAGTAATACGGGGACACAGCAGACCTCTGTTGTGCACTGACCTTGCAAAGGCCCAGTGCAAGTCCTGGACTCTGTTTTCTCTCCTTGGTAAAACAGAGGTTACTCTGAGGCTTGTGAAATAGGAAACAATAGCTCTTGCCTTTGCAGCCACTGCTGGAGCTCAGTCCCTTTGTGACCTCTGAGGAAGCAAACAGACAGCATTTCAATGCCCCTTCTCCCTTTAGGAAGCCGATGTCTTCCCCTCTCCGAAGAGTTGAAACACAAGTGTAATGCCCCTTTGATCTTTGCACATTTGAAAAGATGATGAGGTTCAGGTTGTCTGATGACACTGCAAAGGCAGCAGATTGGCAAGGTGGTCCAGGTATATAGAAAGAAATGTGTCATCCACACTGAAAAGGTGCAGCCAGAAAAGGCTAATGGCACAACTGTCCACATGGGCATCCACCCCAGCACGAAGTTATCACCAGGCTTAAACTGGACAAAAGATTCCAGAAGGGAAAGCCTAGTCCTGCCTAGAAGGGCAGATAAACACAAGGGAGAAGCGACTGAGAGGATGCAGGAGTAGAGGACCCTCAAGCACGACGTTCACTGAAGACTGCTTACATGGAGAAAAATAGTTAAGACTAGAAGTTTGTTATAAACTGAAAAGTGGTTTTAGTAGATCCTGCTGTGATCCTAGGAAAAACAAACCCTGAAGCCCATTCCCCAGGAAATGGTCACTCATTAGCAGTGAGATTAGGGTGTACATGGCACCGCCAACATGCCTGTGACACCTTGGTTCCTAAACCGAAATGCCAGTGCCCCTACATCAATTCTTTTCTTTATTTATTTAAAAAAAGACCTGCCTGCATCTGCCTCCCTAGCGCTGGGATTAAAGGCATGCACCATCACACTGGGCTCTCTACCTCAACTCTTGACCAGTTGAGAAAAGACTTCTACAGCACTCAGTTGTCAGGTGGAGAGCCCTGATCAAAGCGTGATGCCAGCCAATTTATTTACTTGCCTGACGTTACGTTCTGAACATAAATAGATGGGAAATTAAAGGGACGGTTCTAGAGAAGTGATTCTTAATTGAAAGTGGGTAGAAAAATGACAGAAACAGGATGCCTCAGACAGGATATACAGTCTGAAAGTCAGATTCAATAGCGAGATTTAACTATGAGAAAAGGATGTTGCTTTTTATAATACAAGCTTAAGAAATATTCTTGGCTGATGGGGGTAAGAGACTGGAGGCGTCGGTGTCAGAACAATACGGTGTGGTTCCTAAAGAGGCCGTGGGTTTTAGAGGTTTATTAGAAGACCATCATAGGGGAAGTTGAATTCCCGATGGATGAGGTGACTTTTCTGGTTTGTGTTTTGAAACTGGATCTCATGTAGCTCAGGTTGGCATTGAAGTCACTGTTGTAGCTAAGGCTGGGCCTTAAATTCCTGACACACCTGCCTCTACCTCGCCTGTGCTAGGACTACAGGCATGGGCTGTTACACCCCCTCAGGAGGCAGCTTTTGCTTTTTTTTTTTTTTTTTTTTTTTGGTTTTTGAGACAGTAGTTTCCCTGCATAACAGTCTTGGCTATCCTGTAACTCCGTTTATAGGCCAGGCTGGCCTCAAACTCTCAGAGATCCACCTGCCTCTGCCTCTCATATGCTGGTATTAAAGGAGTGAGCCACCATTGCCCAGCATGACAACAGAATCTTTTTATTTATTTATTTATTTATTTATTTATTTATTTTATTTATTTATATTGTATGTGCTCTGGAGTTTTGCATGGATGTCAGATCCTCTGGAATTGGGGTTATAAACAGTTGTGAGCTGCCATGTGGGCACTGGGAATTGAACCTGGGTCCTCTGGAAGAGCAGCCAGTACACTTAACCATTGAGCCATCTCCCTAGCACCCCCCCACAAAGAAATCTTTTTCGACCATAAATTATACATAAGGTAACTGATTTTGTTTCCTCTGCAGTAATTACTTCAACTCTAATTTTTTCAGTTACTATTTTATAACATAGTACTAGATTTATCTGTACAGAACAAGACAAGTATATAAATCAATTTAAAAATAAGTACCATACTGTAACAGGCACTCCGGGACACCCAAAGACCAGACCTGTCTGTGTCTAAAGGAATCAACTCACTCTAGTGGGGAGAGGGACACAGAGAAAGCCAGTGCCCTGCGACAGTGTTAGAGGTGCATGGATAGAGCGCTGGGCATTCTGAAGCCGGAAGCATTGGGGGCTCCCAGCCCCTTTCCGCGATCACAGTAGGATTCTATGTCAGTACATGTTCCATGCACTAAGGTGAGTTCTGAAAGGGCAGCAAAGACCATGCTTACTTACTGCAAATCTGGCACAGCAGATACTAACAAGCATCTGCTGACTGGCTGAGAGCATTCTTAGCTGCACCCCACACGGTAACTAGCACAAGCAGAGGTGGTGGCATGTCTCCCTGGCAAGTCCCATGTGGATGCAGACCGTGGCGTGTCTTCATAATTTGGGGTAAGCCCTGCTTACTGCAGTCTCAAGAACATCCCTTGATTGACAGCATCCTCTCTATATCCAGGCATACTTTGTGTGGGAAGGGTCATATCTGCTGTTTGACTTCTCACAGCCACTGGTGTTCACAGCTCTAGCAGTGGTGAAGGCTTGGAGGGTGGGGGGAGACGACACAGGACACAGAAAATAGGAAGGGAGGGAGTCCATGTAACCAGCTACAGCTTGCTGCATCATTCAAACACCGTCATAAGGAGGGTGACTGCAGATGATGGAGTAGTGAGTGTGTCCGGTCGTCGTCCTGTCCTCCCGCCAGCCCCCCCCAGTCATGAGCACCTAGTTGGACTTGATAAAACTAAAGCAAATACAAAGCACTGTGCTGGAGAATCTCCCCGGAAAAGAACACAAGCAATCAAACAGCCACGGCTCTCTCGGAAGCCTACGACTCCCTAGGTAAAGTGACAAATGCCAACAGTCCCACCAGTAAAGAGGACACAGGAAACAGGACAGCCTCCAAAGCCACAGAGAAACCCTGTCTCGAAAAACCAAAAAAAAAAAAAAAAAAGAGGACACAGGAAGAGTCTACAGGCATACACAAACAAGGAAGCAGAATTAGCATTAAAAAAAATCTGGAAATGGTACTTGGAGTTTAAATGGAATCATGGTGAGAGGACATTTTCGGATTCAAATGTGGCAAGGCCAAGAGAGAATGTACTTAGCAAGCAACAGGAAAGTACAAATCACTTTAATGATTCATGCACTCTCTCAGCAACAGCACTAATCTAAGATACTAAGCCTCGGCTTCTAGCGCATGGTTATACCCAGCATTTAATATGCGCTGCTTCATGCTACTGGGGAAGCAGAGCACAGTGTCTATAAAACCAGGCTCCTGCACCAGAGGAGCTCACAGCCCACCAGCAATGAGGCCATGCCCCAAATCCAAAGCAGGTAAAGCTGTCAAGGGTCGGCAGCAGAACAATTATGTCCAAAGATGGTGAGACTCAGACATGCACAGATGAGAGAATTCAGCAATATAGTGAAAACGCCAGGGGGCTGGCATGGGGAAGCTCACTCCATATCAGCTGCACTCAAAGCCTGAACCTCACATGCAGGCTGGGAGAGAGGCAGGGTGAGGACAGATGTAGGGTTCAATCAAGGGATACTTCTAGAACAAAAGGCACACCCAAAGTAATTATCCATTGTGCCTGTAGACTGGACCACTGGGGGAGGGGACCGTGAGACAAAGGATAGAACAGGCATGGACACCATGACTGGTACTCAAGCAACAGGAAGCCATAAATGCTAATGACAATGGATCCTTATTGGCAATGAGATGCACAGGAAAATACAACACCTCGCTCCTCCCTGAACATTCGAGATGGCAGAGAACTGGTGTTGTAGGGCTGGAGCTGAGGAAATGACACAAGAGTTACCAGTTGTAGTTGTGAGACCAAGACATCATCCTAGTATCAAATTCCAATGTAAAGTTTTATTGGGTTTCACCCCTTTTCTAATTCCTCCCAGGAGCTGAGTCCTCCACTCTTCCCCTTAATCCTGCCAAATGCCAAAGAACTGGGAAGTTCCATTCAGGTAGTAGTCTCTAGCATTTCTTACATTTTCCTTGTATTTTTGTCTTGGTGAGGTGGGTCTCACTAAGATGCCCTGGTAGTCTCAAATCCATGGCTCAAATGGCCTTCCTGCCTCAGCCTCCTGTGTGATTTGAACTACAGGTGTGTACTGACATGCCTGGCTCATTTCTTACATTTCCCTTTTATAAAGATTTATTTTATCTTTATTTAAGTGCCCATGAGTGCAGGTGCCCAAGGAGACCAGAAGTGTGGGACCCTTGGAGATGGAGTTACAGGTGGTTGTGAGCTGCCTCATGTGGGTGCTGGGAACTGAACTCCCATCCTCTAAGAAAAAGTGTGTGCTTTTAACCAATGAACCATCTTTCCAACCTTTATCTTTGTAATGTGTGTTTTGCCTGAATGTATGCATGAATACCATACGCCTGCAGTGCCCACAGAGGCCAAAAGAGGGCACCAGATCGCCTGTAACCAGAGATACTGGTGGTTGTAAGCAGCCATGTGAAAGCTGAGACCAGAACCAGGTCCTGTCTAAGAGCAGCCAGTGCTCTTGGCTGCAGTCATCTCTCTAACCCTCCAAAATCTCTGAGTTTTAAGTCTCATGTTTTATTTTTCAACAATACAAAAATTGGGTAACAGGGTGATTCAAATGTTTTTAAATGCTCTGGCTACTTGTAAAGAGAAATTTAGCCTTTGTTCTTTTAGATTTATTTGTTTTATGTATATGAGTGCTCCATCTGTACATTTGCTTGCACACCAGAAAAGAGCACCAGATCTCGTTCAAGGTGGTTGTGAGCCACCATGTGGTTGCTGGGAATTGAACTCAGGACCTCTGGAAGAGCAGCCAGTGCTCTTAACCTGTGAGCCACCTCTCCAGTCCCAGCCTCTGTTGATAAAACGAGCATCTAGCAGGGAGGAAAAGGAGCCAGGGCACTAAGCAGGAAGAATACTAGCCCTGTCTCACACAGACAACTAGCAGGGAAGAAATGAAGTAGTGAATTTCTCTCATGCTGGAGAGGCGGTTGGAGCCCCCTCCTGAGGTGAGAAAATAGATGTCCCGCAGGCTGAGAGCCATCTGCCACGAGTTGACACCATTATCGCCCGTATGCAAAGTTTGAAGGGTAGGCCTAGTTTGTTAAGAGAAGCTTTTTCCTTGAGAGGGAGCCGTTCCGCCAGCCTGGTTCCAGAGCCGTATCAGTCCCAAATAAACACACAGGAGGCTATATGAATTATGAAGCTGTTGGCCTTGCTTGTTTCTTACTGGCTAGCTCTGACTTAAGTAATTACCCCATAATTGTTAATCTAAGTATGTCTCTTACCGGAGAGGTTTCCTGGCTTCCTACCCCAATGGCGTTACATCTTGAACTCCTGTGTTTCTCTTACCCAGAGTCCTTCTGGACTCCTAGTCCCTCCCATCTAGATTCCCTATTGGCCAGACAGTACTTTATTGACAAATGCACAGGACTTCCCCAACACTAGTTAATGCGTTTCAGCTGGCAGCCTTCTCCAGAGGGAAGGCTCTGGAAGCTTGTCTACTCCATTAACAACACAGCACAGGCTGTCACCTCAGCTGAGTAAACAGAACCTGACCACGTGCCCAACAGAAAACTTGCTTACTTTGAGATTTCACGTTAAACAAGAAAGACAGAATTAGAAGTATTTTGTGTTGGTGCATATTGGTTTACCCTACATTCCTTTTCCCTGGTGGCTTCAAAATGAAAAGAAAACACAATTGGG